ACTTTTAGTACGTAGTCAGTTTGATCTTTAGTACATACTCAGTTTGATCTTTAGAATGTTTGATTAAGGTCACGGACCATAGTCTGATCAATCTCACAATTTTTAAATTAAATTGTGATTCAATAATTTTTCGGTGTGAAAATTTAGCTTGTACTTATTTTTTTCAATTCTAAGCTTCAAGAGTTATCCATAGAATATAACGGAAACTTTGCACTGATATTAAGGTCCGAGATTAAGATAGAAAAGTTCGCAAGTTTGGACCCCAAGTTGCTGAAGTATTTCATTTTCAAAGTTTAAAATTGAATAACATGTAAAATTTTCTATGATGAGATAAGTTTTGTCCTTATCTCATCATTGATTGCGTGATGAACTCCCCTTTTTTGATCGCGATATGAGCAGTTTGATCTCAAAGTTGAGCTCCTTATAGTAGAATAGTTCAAGGTGCCATTCTCACTGGCTGCTATTTTTTTCGCATGCTAGTGAGAACTATGTTGGTGGAAAATATCATAGAGTTGAAATACTGGGTAGAGAGAGTAGAATAACCCCCGACCCGTGGACAAGATAAAGTCACGTGACTGTAGCCCAAACTTGCCGTTCACTGAGACCGCTTCGATTCCCGTCCATTCGTTTAGCATTGCGATCGTCTGATGCAATTAACTGTCTGTCTTTTTAATTCAGAAATAAGAATGGTACAAAAGTCCTGAGCATTTTGCTGCACGGAGAAGTTTTCTAGGGACTGTCCGATAACTTTTTACAAGAAAGGGCGACATTTTTTTTCACTTTTTCTATTTTAAAATTGATTTTAAAATTTTTCCGATACTCAGTCATGCTCTGATAATCATGTTTTATTTGCTTTAATAATCAATTACGCTCGTTTTTGCTCACTTTTTTTGCATTTAACATAAGTTTTTATTGTTTCTTAAACTTTAAACTTATAATGTTTAAGTATATTTCAATATATATTCTATTTTTAGCTGAAATAGCTGCAAAGCTTTGTTGGCTTCCTTGGCGAGATACTTTAGCGCCAAGGAACAGTTGAGTAAACTTTCGGTTTTGTTTTAGTTCTCTTTAAATGTCGATATCATTTCTGTATATTCTGAAGATTTTGTATATCTTTACCTCTTGATTACTAAAACCCAATATTTATCTTGTTCTAAAATGTTTCCTTTAAATATATATATTTAAATAAAAAATATGGTACATAAGAAGTTGTGTTTTTTAAATTACATAGGAATGCTTAAAAACCAAATTATTTGTATATTCTTATATGTTTGATGAATAATTAAATTCTATGAAATATTTTTAGTATTTAAATATAAAATAGTGTATAGTAGTTTTAGTGTTAATTTTTAATAAAATTATATAATTCTGTTACTATACATAAAATGAATACAAATTATGTACTATTTAGAAAATAAATTAAGGTATATTTAATATAATCATTAAGTACTTGTTTATCTTCTTTTTATTTAAAAATAGTTGCTTTATTGGAAATACTTTATTTTACTAGTATATTAAAGCGTAGAATTAGTTTGATTTAGTGCAACAAATTTAGAAAACATAACATAGAAGTGGATAAGTTGTATAGGAGTAAATTAGTGCAGTAAATTAGCGCATGTTATGCATTGGTATGGAATAAACTGCTCAGACGGCCAAGGCTAACAGCTGGCTGTGGTGCAAAGATTTAGCATCGTGAACCTTTCTTGTAAAATTTCAACTGTTTTTACCTTTATCTAGATTGTATATATTTAATTTGCAGCTGGCTAAAAGATATAGTTTTAAATGCACTTACTATTTTTAAGAAAATTACATTTTTTATGGATGGGCATTGTAATTTTCTTAATGTCCATAAAATGATTATGGTTCTTTTATTTGTAAAGTAAAATATTTTTAACTGCTACTTTTTAAGATACTGGTTTTCTGTATAAAAATTATTAAATATACATTGACCTATAATAGTTGCATAAATTTACCTCATAAAAAGTTGCATAAATTGCAATTTCTATCACAAATAAAAGTAAGATATTTTAATTATAAGTTCGTCATTAGTTTCAATCTACATTTAGTACAAAGTAAAAATTCTAATTGCTTTCTCTTTTATTTAAGTATTTTTTGTTTAAATTTCGAAAGCTTTTCTACTAGTCTCTTTGTGTGTACAATTTAAACTTCCTAGTAATTTATGGAATTAGATTGTACATGAAATACAAAGTAAAATTTCTAATTAAACTCTTTTATTATTTTCTTTGATTAGTTTAATGCTTTTAATCTTATATTTTTCTCTATTCGGAGCTGAAAACTTTTATATTAGAATAAATATTTTATTTCATATTTAGACAAATTGTTGAGTATTAAGTTAAAATGCAACAGCAGTTTATTTTTGAAAATATCTATTTTAAGTGTCAGGAAAAAAAGAAGTCAAAATTCTAAATTAATAATGTAAATAATCTTTATTGTATAAATAATTTAATGTATTCAATATATAAATAAAATTCTAAACGTAATTAAATTTAATCAAAAATATGTTTTCTAACTAATCTGTTCTACTAAAAACGGGTTTTATTTTCCCCGAAGCTATTTTTCCCGAAATTTGATATTACCTCTCGAGCAGTCTCTTGGTGAGCATAAATAAAAATGATAAAAGTGTTGCAACATTAACGTTATTTCTAAGCATCGAACTTTTTTCAGACAATCTGTTTAATTTTACAATTTGTTTTATCTAACAGTGATAAAACTTTTAAAACGTAAAGATTAAATTAATTTTTTAAACGAACTTGTGTTTCATTAAAAAAGAAGGGCAACATTTTCAAATTCACATTTTAAGCCCTGGTAGATTTAAAAAAAATCCTGATTTTTGTATCGAAGTTATTATTTTTTTTAAAAAAAATAACAATAGTTATTACAATATATATTAGTAATTTTTTTTTTAAAATAGGTCTTTGCAATAAAAACATTTAAAAAAAAATTTCTGAATATAGTAATAAATATAAGTGATGCAGAATATCGTTTTTTATTTTTATATAATGAATAAATTTTAAGGAATAGTGTTAAGGGTACAGACGAGAACTACTGAATTTTTTTAAATAAAGGCAGTACTTTAATTAAAAATTATTTGTTAAGAGAAAAAAAACTCCTCATGTTTTAAAAACCCATTTAATAATATTAAAGAAATATGATTAACGAAAATATTTTTTTTCTCTCTTTCAAATGCTCCGATTATTTGCGCATCGGTAATATCGAAATAAAGCTGTTTAAAAACTTAGTGCGCCAACATTTGTGATACTGCGCCAAGTATTGCACTCTTTCCATCACGTGATTGTAACTCTTTGCTTGCTATCTGTGGCGTGTCTTTTCGGAAGGAATAAAGCGGACTTGGTTCCTCTACCTACTATATCAACTCTATGGAAAATATTCACTCAGGAAAAAACTCACCAATAAGGTTCTCGTTCGCTTGTGGGAAAAATTACATCCAGTGAAAATTTTCCCTAGACTAGAACAGACACCTCATACCCTCTGTCCCTTCAGAGGCTGATCAAAGTGACCACCCACCTGCTCACTGACCGCAGTCTGTGATACTTGTGAGCTGCGTTCTCTGGGCCATTTTCATTGGATGAGATTTTTATACTTTTAATCGAGAACCTGATTGACGAGTTTTTCGAGTGTTAATACTTTCTACCAGTCTAGTTCTCATTCACGTGCAATGTTTTTCTTTTTCTTTCATTTGAAAAAAAATTGCAGACAATGAAAATGGTGTCCATTACGATCAGTCCATCTACCGTGGAGTAAGAATTTTTAATAAACTTCAAAAATTACTCACCCGACTCACGCTGACCACAGTACTGATGTAAAAATATCCTTAGTGGTAGATGGATCATGGGTTAGAGTCCCCCTTTCGTCTAACTTACCGTTAGAAGTCTTCGTAGTTTTCCTCTCCATGTAACTTAAATGCTGGTTAGTTCCATAAACTCCTTCACGAAGGCAAATTTCTTCCAATACTTGATCCAGGAGCTCCCTTGACTTCTAGATTGGGTTTAAAATTACAAGGCTATAGAGTTGAACATTAGTAGTTGTAAAACCTAAAGTGAATCGGCTGTTCAACGACGGTTATAAAATAAAATCAACTTTAAAACACAATTCAGTATCTTTTTTGCTGCTGTTAAGTATCTTAGTCTTTACTAAAGAATTTATTATGAATGATTCATACGTTAATTTAAGTGTAATTTAACATAAAAATAAATAAGCCGTACGTATACAACAGCCTGACTTCCTGCCATCCAAGTGTTCCTTTGTAAGCATCAAATTGTACATAAAAATTTATGAAAAAGATTTAAAGAGTAGAATTACAGAAAAATATTCACCAATATTAATTAGTAATCCAATAAACAAGTCATTAGCGTTTATAGATTGACACGAGAAGCAAGGAGTTCAGAGACATCCCAGACTAAGCAGTGTCACTATTCCCGTTTCACCAAATGCATCTGGGATCTAAGAAGCAAAAAGCGACAGTAAGGCTAGGATGTTCTTGATTTTCTACAATAAAAGAAAGAAGAAAAAATTCTGAGCCGAAAATTTCTTTTTGACTCGCATCCATTTTGAGCTTATGCATTTGAAAAGACAGTAGGAATGCTTCCTTAAAACGAAAATAGTATTTTGCCGAAAAGTCAACACTATACCAGAAATAGGTCACTGGAAACGGTTAAATGCGAATTCCTGAAAACAAAAACATTTGGCATAGTCTGTGATCACAGAGCTGTCTGTGATATATATTTTTTATTCAACTTTGTAAATTACATTCATTGGTAAGAATATATGTATTCATCTTTATTGTAAAAACAATTACTATTATTCATCTTTGAACATATCTGTCGAATTGCTCACGCTTTATTCTATAATAATTATTTCTCATAGCAAACTTGTACTTTCCTAAAATAATTGTTACTTACCTTAAACTAAATTATTCTTTCAGTTTACTTTCTATTTATTGCCTGTCATATTTTTTTCAGAAGATTTGTTTTTATCTCAGTTTTCCAGTTTAAGGCATTTGTAAAATGGGAAGAAGTAGATCTCGGTCACCTCCTGGCAGAAGAGGTAAACAGCAAACTTTATTTTTCTACCTGAAACAAATAAATTTATGTTATGTTGTGCGAAAAAAAACTTATTATAGGACAATTATCAGTTCTGTTCTCATCAAGAGAACATTTATCTAAAAGCATTTTCTATTGGGAAAATGACTAAGCTTTCAAAGTTTTATGTCTTGGTTACCTTATGTTTTTCTAGTGTAATGATCGTTTCCTTCTATTCTTTTGACTGTTTATTAGTTTTTTATTTCATTAACTCTGTAAACAGGACTTTTTTAAAGTAGATCTAAATATGCTTATTGTGTTTTTTTCTAAAGATATTATACATAAAATATTTGTTTTGAATTTGTAGCTGATTAAAAAGTTTAATAAGACTTCTTATACAACTTTTTTATATAAATGAGACTTTTTATTCTCACTTGTGAAAACTGATTTTTATTTCATACATTAATATCAACATACAACCTACTTATAAATTCATAATTTCTAAACACTCCTACAGCATTGGGATTTCAAGTGTCCTAAACTGGTGTTGAGCAGGAAATCTGGGATTAACTGTTCCAAAATTTTAAAAGTGACAAAATCATCTAAATTTATAAATAAATTTATTCAAAAATAATTGGAATCTAATCTTTATCATATTTTTAAAATTGTATTATAAAAATATGTAATTTTTTAAACGTTTAGAATTTATATAAAACTGCACTACAAAACCTAGCTTTGGTCAGTTTAAGACATAAAGTTTAACTTTATATTAAAGTAGAACTTTAGAAAACTTGAATAACCTAAAATTTAATAAATATTTAAATAAATGAAAATAAAATAAGTTTTAAATTTCAGCATTTAATTGATATTATAAATTATCTTTAAAGAAAGTTTAGTTACATTAGAGTATCACAATAAATTTATTTATTATACCAAGTTACAATGTTCATTATATTATTGCATCAACTTAGTTGTACTTTTTAAAATAATTGTTTAAGCACACTATTCACATGTTTCAGTGTTTTAACACACAAATTTGTTTTTCAACATTCTGTTGTAGTAATCATCGTCAAAACAATCGTAATAATTGTTCCACACGTTGTGTGTGCATTGGTCATTGTTTGGGAGTAAGACTGATCTTGTTTTTTACTAGCTCGGATGTATGGGAAATTTGAGCTATTAGGACAATTGTAATTTTATTTAAACTGGTTTATTATGAATACACATTAGCAAATCTTGTATGCCACAGCAACTGACGATCAAAATTTATTTTTGTCTTGCAGACAAAAACGTTGATATAGATTTTCAAATCCTCCTTTTTTTTTTTTTAATGTGATGTTATATCATAAAAAAATGTTTAAAAGGAAAAAATTACATATCTATAGGATCTTTTTTTTTAAAGAAGCATTATGTTTATTTTTAGTTAGTCCGTGGGATTCAGGTCGATGATAGCTCAAAGAGAAAGATTTGCTCATTCTTCCATTTTCTTCGCCTGGCTTTTTTTTTTTTGTTAACTTTATGTGAAACATTGAAGCTTTGTTTTCATACTAACGTTTTTTTGTTTACCTGGTGTTTATTTCTTTTTTTAAAATTTATTTCAATGTTGATTTTTTTTCTAAGATAAAGTTAACTGATTGAAATAAAAAATATTTTGATATTTTAAATCTTGTAGAATTTTTTCTTTTTCCAATTAATAAATTTCGAACTAATGTTTCATATCAAGTGCTTTTTTTAGTAGACCAGTTATTTCATCACGTTTTTCAGCATTTTTGTCTTTTAAAACATTTGCTGGAACATTGTGTTGAATGCAAATATTTTGCCACCTATTCTGCAGATAAATTTGATGCTCTTACAGATTATTACAAATGTTTCTACTGCTATAATTGCTACTATCTCAAATTAACTTAAACTTCTATAAATTCCAACTATGGGCAAAAGAATTTTGGATAATTTTAAAAAGAAATAGTGATATTTCAGGGGTCTGTCCAGGGTGAATTTACTACCGTTTAGCGGTACCTTCACAAATTCAACTTTAGGAAAACGGTAGTTTCACAAAATACTTTTTCTTAAAATTTTATATTTTTGTATCCCTTAAGAAACGATCAATCCATATTTTTGTGTTGATTTTTTAATATAATTTTTAATTTTTCACAAATTATGTCTAAATTTTCACAAAATAGGTACCTTTCAGAAAAACCTAGACAGGCCCCTGTATTTACACTGATTTCACCATCATGCCTTAAAACGTGTCAACCATACTTTCCTATAGTTTTGCAAAACTCTGTTTATGCAAGTTGGCTTTAAGACAATCATTACATATGGCTGTAGACATGTATCATATTATATCAATCCTTCTTTTTTTTAAGAAACACATACTTTGTGAAATAATACCAAAACGATACATTCATGTTTTAATTATAGGAGGACTTAATTCTCATTAAATTTTTTATGAGTTTCAAAAATCTATTTTAAAAGAAAATAAGTATTTTTTTGTGAATATCTGATATTTTTTTAACATGAAAATGTTACCTAGATTGGGTCAATGTGAATAAAAATTATAATACATTTCCATACATCTCAACAAAAGAGGAGAGGCTGTAATCAGAACCGGTATTCTCCCCAGATGACATAATTGGGTACTTACACTTTAAGAAGAAGATCACTGATCACACACATGTGACCCATGACACCAGCGCCAGCTGATCGTTTATAAGCAAAATGGCATGTTAAAGTTGAGCTAAAATTCTCCACTTAAGTTAGAATGTTAAGTAACAAAGTTAATTTAATACTGCTCCATATCGCACATTGAATTTGTTTAAATACAATTCTTTCTCATCTACATCTTTTACTTAACTTATATTTATTATTTATGTATTTTATTGTAGCCCTGATATATTTTTCTTTTGTGTAACTGGCAACTTCAATGCATAATAAATTTATTTGATCTACATGGCTTCATGCCTGTCTTTGTGTTAAGTTAGAAATATGTAGTGAAAGAAATTAAATCTTTGTGTAAGATTATAGAATGTGTCCTTATAGAATACCTTCGCTTACTCGAAATGTAATTGAAAGAATAGTTACTAATGTAAACAAATGCCTCATATCAACAACCAATCAGAATTCGGATACTCTCACTACATCTCTAATAGGCAGGTATCATATTGAGTGTTGCAATAGCAAATTGCACTTTATATTTGAAACAAATAGTTTCTGAAAAATTTTCTTTTGCAAGGATATCATAAAATTTATTCATTATTATGCATCATAAAATGTATTCATTATTATGCATCATAAAATGTATTCATTATTATGCATCATAAAATTTATTCATTATTATGCATAATTATCTAATTTGTTATCTAACTTCTTAATCCTTTTGCAGAGAGACATAGAAGCAGATCACGAGAAAGGGAACGTGATCATGATAGGAGAGTTAGAGGTAAGCGTAAAATTTGAATATTTAAAATTATATAAAATTTATGTAAAATGTTAAACTTTATTAATACTAAAAAATATAAAAATTTCATTTGGCCATAAAATAATCAAAACATTTGAAATTAAGCTAACAATTGTAACTTAAATTACAAATCTAGGAAAAATAAATATTTCTGCATATTACTAAATATTTTAAAATGTTTTATTAACTACGAATACATACCTTACTTTTATTAATTTTTATCTAATATGCTTATTGTGTTTTNTTTTTATTTCCTTATATGACGGGTAAAAGTTACCACAATATACATAATCATTAGTAGAGGTATAACATCTATGCTACTTACTCATTAGGTATTTTGTTTATTTATTTTATATATATATATATATAATACGTAAATATGTTTTAATTGTTTATTGCATTTTTCTCTTATGATTTGTTAGGTCGTTATCGATCAAGATCACCTTCCCCACGACGCCGAAGAAGCAGGTATAATTTTTTATAATATCTATAATTTCTTGCTCAAAGCATAGATTCATTCTGAAGTATGATGTTGCTTAGTATAGTTAAAATTGTTTACATTATTACCATTTCAGTATATTGACAAACAATAAAACTCAAAAGGTTATGTTTTTATTGAAAGAGCATAAATAAAATATTACCTTTTTATGCATCGATATGATGAAAACAGCTCTTTTGAATGCACAAAATTTTGATTTCTTATTGGTTTATTGAAAATTCTCTCCAAGGAAATATGGTTGCAGTTACGAAGAAAATACTGTAATAAATTTGTTAATCACTATTATTGGTAATATTAGGGTCCAAAATATAACACTGCACTTAATAATTATCAACTACATACTCACAATTAAAAAATAACTCACTTATTAATGCAGCAATTAAAAATGCAGAAAATAATTACAGACTAGTTAATTTGAAATTTTTAAGTGTGTTAAGTGTATGTTTAATGATTCCCTTGATTACAAACTTGAAAAATTTATTTTTCTGTATTGTTAAGAGAAGAAAATGTCTTTTACTTCTTATTACCTACCCATTACAAGTAACTATACTATAGTCACTACTTATTTTAATAGTTTGTAGTGTAATGTACTATTTTAAAAAAGTAGTGTAATACAATTAGCAATTCAATATGAAAAAAAGTTTTAACATTAGTTTAGTACAGAAACAACTAATTTTTCAAATCTGATTGGTGCATATCTCATACAGTTGTATAAGCAGGCACAATAAGAATGTGTTGGTAGCCTACCATCTTAGATTTTCCCTAGCCGTTATGAATTATACATAGTTTATCAATTCATTCATAACATATCCACATTCTCAAATACAAACGTGCCAATTATTGTGATTATTTTCCTTTATCATGATCAAAATACATGCATGTCATTTCAATGAAGAGTATATTTCCTCATGATGTTCTTGAATTCTTAAAGGAAATTAAAGAGTTTTAAACTTTTGACAAAGTCACAAATATTTAATATTTTTTCAGCATTTCTTGTTAAAAAAGATATTAAAAATTGAATAGTGGAAAAAAAATCCTAAAAAATGGTTTAGAATAATAAATTTGCTGTCTTATGAAAGTCAATGTATATGTTTCTTATAAATTTCCATTGATTAAATAAGCAACTTTATTATTCCAAATTATTATTTGTTATTATTCATCATTTTGTCATTCAATAGTACTGTTGCCACCCAATTTCGCAAATAATCGGGACTCTACTTTATATCATTTTTATTGTTTAAGAGAAATCTTTTTGATTTATAGTAGGTCACCACCCATTAGAAGGAGGTCAAGGTCTCGCTCATGGTCACCACCCAGAAATAGAAGGAGCAGATCTAGCTCAAGGTCTGATTTTAAGATAACTTTTAATTGTTTCTTTTTTTTATTTTCTTACAAAATGAAACTATGTTTTCATTTTGATAAATGCATAATACTTCAGTATTCTGTGATAAGAGAAAATATTTTGAAACTAATTCAAATTTATGTTTTCTTTTAAATTTCATGTATTTGAAATACTATTATAAATTTTATGCTCTTTTTATTGGCTAATTATATGTTAACTTTTATTTAACAATTTTTATGTAACACATCAATGCCCAAGTTACACATTTATATTTAAAATTTGTGTACATGTCTGGAAATCAACCTAAATCTTTTTCTTAAAAACAAAATGATTTAAAGTAAGAAATCTTGATTTATTTTTGAATTGCAGTATCAAATGTTGAGAAACTATCATATTCTAAATTTATGTGGTATTTGAAAAGATAAATAAATAAAAACATTGTATTTGCTAAAATAATTACCAAATAAAAATTTTAACAACTTTCTAGAGAATTGCAAAAAATCTACTTTTTAATCAGACTTGAAAATAGAAAAAACTTATTTTAACAACCAAACATTTTATATGGGATGCAATAGATAACTTGTGTAAAAAAAAATAAATAATTTATGATACTTTGTTATATGAATTTAAATGTCCTTAAAAGAAAACCGTTTTAGCTAATGAATTAAAATGTTTATATTGTAAGCTATAAACTTAATTTCTTGTTAATTAGTATTTACATCATGAGGCATGTCTTGAATCTTATTGACAAGATTAGAAAACCAGATGTATGATAGATAAATAGTAAATACTTGTTTCATTTCACACAAATCTTAACAAAATATATAGGATCATCAGTAACAAAATCAGAGATTTAATTTTTATGCTGTATTGATGCAAAAACATTTTTTTAAGTTTCTTTTTTTCTTTCTTTTGAGTTACAAGTATAGCAAAAATTTTATTCCTAATTAATACATAGGTATTTTTAGTTTTCTTTTTAATAAAAATAGTTCTATATTTTGTAGGATTATTGAATTAAATTTCAAAGGGTAATGTACGTTTTTATAATTATGTATCAGTCAATTATTTTTCTGATTCATTTAAGTAGTTTTCCTCTTTTTTAAACTAATTTTGAAAAAAAAAATTAAATCTAAGTTGTATAACAAGCAATTTAAAAATATAATTAAATTTTCCCTGAAAATAAGTTTTAAGCTAACTGAAATCATGTTTCATAATCCTCAATTAAAACAAATCAACAATTTTTGTTTTCAAACAAATGCTGAAGATAATTGTGACTGTTGTTTCTGAGTGTTATGCAAGTAATGACTACTATTCCATTTGGTATGTGGCCTATGTGAGAGCTACGTGATACAGTAGGGAACCGATGATCCGGAATGATCGGGACCATCGCTATTCCGGATAACTGATTTTTTCGGTTTTCTGAATCGCTACAAAAAGCCGTTTTTTTATTTATTGTTAAACCCAACTGAAAAAAATATTTGGAAATAATCTTAAAAA